ACACATCTTGCTATATATCATGCTTGCTGTCACAAGAATCTGTCTAATGAGAAAGTATACCGGTTTAGACTAGATTAGTAGTTGGCACAACACCTGAAGGAGCATAGAGCATGCGCCACCACCTAAGGTGAAAAGTTCGTAAGGAGGAAGACTTCGGGCCTTCCTCCAAGAGACCCCAGCCCGCGACCACCAGATAGCAGTGCGCAGGCGTCAGTAGGAGGAGAAATATGGTAATGGCTTATTTTAATAACCACACCCCACTCCTCGGTAACATGATGAATATGGATCACGTCTCTATGTATATGAATGAATTAATGTCATAAATACCCTCGTGTCCGTCCCTGCGGTGTGCAAGGTTTGGAGGAGCTATCCCCCTTGCACCCGGCGCCGTAATAAACATACCTGCTCTTTTGAGTTGTGAAGTTTGTTTCCACGCATCAACCGGGTTTGCGGCTGAGTGCAGTTAGGGCAGGCAAACCACGAAATGGTCTTCTTGTAATCTGAGGTTTCCCCTGTTTTCGAAGACGTAGTGATACCAGCCCCAATAGATAATATTTCAGCCAGTTCTCTCAAAATATTAGGATGCGGCCAAACTGGATATTAGGACGCCAAACTTTGACAGATGCTTTTAACATTGTACTTTACTACTGGACAGAAAAGAGTTTCATTAGTGGCACGTCAACAAATCAACCAGCAATCTGGAATGGAGAGCAGAAACATTTGAGTACCTACAGCTTTTTATCATCATTATTGACAATTTTACTGTCTCCTTCAAGAAACGGCCCTCTACAATGACTTGTGTTGCTTTTATTCGTAATAAGTATATGAACATTTATGCCGTATCTCAGTCTTCTGTATAAATTGCCTGGTGGTCTTCGTGTCTTGATTCCTCAAGTTATTCCAGTGTGTTGGATTGTTTCGTGGTGATGCTAATAGAGCACAATAGTACCTTAAACCACGTGTAGAGGCTGTGAATAAGGAGACTGTAACCTTGTTCTTTAGTGGTTTTCTGTGATGCTTCCATGTCTTTTGTAGTATTTTCATTTGCTCATAAGGACAGCCACATTGCTTCAGCACTAAGGGAATGTGATACATCAAACATTAATGAAGCTTTCTGAAACCGTTCTGAATTTCCATTCACACTTCTGTTTTCTGCCAGTCAGTTTTACACTGGGATAGAGAAGGGAGTAAAATACAAAGGAAAAGAAGAACACTAATGTCCATATTACCATTTATGGGGATGATAGCAAGCATCCTTTGCTTGCAGGCTTCACATTTTTTTGGATGAAGTCCTGCATTGGTTTTGGTGATATTATCCACTGTAAACCAGCACGTCTAGTATAAACACACAAACAAACAAAAGGCAGCGATACCTGTATGACAGCACTAAGCCCTTATGTTTGCTCTCATTTTAAAAAATTCTGAAACACGCTCCCCACTTTTATTTCTCCCCCAGTGGAAGTCGTAACAGCCACCTCAATCACACTGCAATTTGCACGCTAAGCAACGAGGGACTATCGCTGCAGATCACTCCACTGTCTTGCTGTTTTGTCGTGTATTAGTCCAACAGGAAGGTCTCTCTGCTTGCACAAGCAATACCACGGCTTGCCAGGAGGTGTTGCTTTGAAACCATGCAAATATCGGAGCTTAAAAATCATGAAATAGGCTTGGACTATTAAAAATAACCAACAGATACTTTGTTCTGGCAGGGAGAACTCAAGATCCTCCATTTGAAATGGTAATTTTTATTTAAGAGAATTTAAATCTGAAATGCGCACAGTAGTACAGAGGGAAATAAATGCTGAACAGGGGACCCACTCGGTGGAAAATACTGTGGGTTTGTACATTGCTAACAAATATGTTACAGCAGCTTTATGTGTGTAAAACTGTCAATGGCTTTGTCTTTGCAGGTCTGGATGTTAAAATATATATATACCTAACAGACCTGATGCAGTGGGGAGTTTTAGAGGGGTAACTCTTGGTTTCAAGAAGCCAAGGAGCGGAGTAAAGCCTCAATAAGACAAATAGTTGTCCTGCTCAGAAAGCTGTGTCACTGTGCTCTCCATACCTGCACACACACATTTTAAAAGAAAATGAGCTGTTTCTTTCTAAGGGGGAACACAGTGTTGGATATACAACTGTTCTCCATCTACAGCCCTGTTTTTAAGTACATATTAACAGTGACAAATTTAATTATGCGTTTAATTATGCCCAGCCTTGGTCTAGAAGACAGAACAGGAGGCAAAGTTTCCAAGACATTTAAAACCTTTTTTTGCTAAAGAAAAAAAACGCCTCAAAGGATACCCAGCAAGCAGAAGTTTTTAAATATGTCTTCATCACCTCAAGCTAAAACAACCTCCATTGCTCAAACAAGCTGAGGCTCTTCAGCAGAAATTTAAACTCTAGAATAGGATGCTATTTTACAGCCCACAATGTGCCTTGTTGTGTAGATGTAGTTACCACACTTACTCCAGCTGTGCCTTTCAAAGAGTTGTACGTACCAGCCCTGAGACGATGAACTCCAGCTCACTGAGGCTCTGGAAGGCTGTTTTTGGAGACAGTTTAGAAAAGGACCTCACAGTTAGCAGAGGAGGTCACCTAAGGGTGCATATAACCAAAGGAGCCTTTGAAAATTATTTTATGATCAGATGTTTACCAATATTGTTTTTTAGCAGAGATGAAGGTATTAGCCAGGATCAGAGAACAGTGTACCAGACAAAAGGTTATAAAGGTGAGGAGATCAACAGCTCTTTTTTACACAAAATATTTTTTTTAAAGCCAAAAAAATTTTTTAAAAGTTGTAGCTGTAAAAGGGAAAGCAGGAGACAGTTGTTGGTGAATTTAGCTGGCCCTCTGAGACGTCATTTCAACAGCAGGGTGTAATTCTAGCCTGATGTTTAGACCAGCTGCTGCCAAAAACAAGTAAGTTTTCAGAGCTCCTACCCCTCTCAGCACTGTGACCACAGGTTTGACCACAAAACCTCAGCGCAGATTGTACAATACAGCTAGTTAGACCTTACATATTCCTCAGAGGTAGTTTCAGTGGAAATACTCTACTCCTACAACTGGAATATCACTGCAGACCCTCCTTTTCAAATGCCTCTGGGGTCAGAAACGGACATGTTTTGTGCAACTAATCATTTTCCAGGAATTTTTGTTCTGTGTGAATAAGTTTAGAGCAAATCAAGCTGTATCTTCTGAAGTACCTTGCATCAATGATATACTGGAATAAAAATTAACCCGAGCCTCCTATAAATAAAGCACTTGTTTGTATCATTCAGCGCTTCCTGAACCAGGCTGATGATGCCAGAAGGTTGTAGGACACTTGACAGACTTGTGTTGCTCCGGCTCAGGAAGAAGCAGGATTCTTTTTCTTTTACCACAGCACATGCTGGGGGATTTGGAAGACAAAGCACAACATTCACATTCATTGAAATTTGTCCTTTGGTGAGTAGCTCCCCTTTACATTTCTAGTAATAGAGTCTCTAAGGATTTGACATTCCCGTTTTGAGACGCCTTTTCTTTCTCCAGAGCTGGAATGGGCACCAGGTATATTTTCTGAGCGTGATCCTCTACTATGTAGTCAAAAGACCCGTAATCAAAGTGATCACAAAACAACACCCAGAGGAATATCCACA